TGAATTCAGGTCAAATATTAAGCTTGTCGAATGTCATTTTTCAAAGCCGGCAAATGATTCCTACTTGAAAATTCGACAGCACCTATACCTCTTCTATTGGCACCCATTCGCATACTTCCAAAAACACCATTAGCCATATATTATAATAAATGTCTACCTATTTATTTATCTCTGAAACTGATGATGGATAGTTTTGGTTCTAACAATATGAGATCTGGTTGAAATTGTCTCCGTGCATCTGAAAATGTGTGAAGATCCATCCACTCTTAATTCGACAAACGGCTAACCATTATACATCATCTTCTTTTGTTTACTCATTGTTGCACCCTCGCTCTGCACCCACCTATAGGAATAAACTCCTATCTGCACCTACTTAAATATGTAGACACTCAGGTTTGATGATTCGTTCATTTATTTTTTATTTTGAATAATTTTATTTTGAATATAAACTTTCGTTCTATTTTTTTAATTTATTTTAGTTCTTAGAATTTATATATATATATTTGCGTGTGTGTGTGTGTGTGTGTGTGTGTGTGTGTGTGTGTGTGTGTTGTTCGCTTATTTTCATGCTTATCTTTCGTTTTACTTTCCTCTCCTATTTCTTTCACATTTGACCCGAGAGTTTTAAGCGCGGGGATTTGAAAGAATTTTGCTGGGAATGTTATCAAACAGTCGAGGGAGACAGAAGACAGATATAATAACTGAAAAAACAGATAGAGAAATGGAGAAGTAAAGAAAAGCGGAAAGAGACAAGGAAAAATAGAGAAAAGGTGTAAAGAGAAGTGGAAAAGTAAAGAAGAAAGCCACATGAGAAAAGAAAAAATAATGAAAAAAGCGAAAAATAAAAAGGAAAAATAAAGGAAAACAGCGAAAAGAGAAAAGGAGAAAAAAAGCGTAAAGAGAAATAAAGAAAAGACCGGAAAGAAAAATAAAGAAAAAAATAGAAATAAACAAGAAAAGAAGAAGTGAAATAAAGAAAAAGCAGAAAAAGTAAAGGAGAAGTAAAAAGAAAAGCGTCAAGAGAAAAGGAAAAATAAAGGAAAAAGTGGAAAGAGAAAAGGAGAAATAAAGAAAAAAATGGGAATAGAAAAGAAGAAATAACGAAAAAGCGGAATAAAAAAGGAAAAGTAAAGAAAAAAGAGCAATGAGAAAAGAAAAAAATTAAGAAAGAAGTGAAAAGAGAAAAGGAGAAGTAAAGGAAAAAGCGGAAAGAGAAAAGGAGAAGTAAAGGAAAAAGCTGAAAAAGGAAGTAGAATTAAAGGAAAAACAGAAATGGAGAAAGTAGAAGTAAACAAAAAAGCGGAATCAGAGAAGGAAAAGAAAAAATATGGGAAAGAGAAATAATGAAAAAAACTGAAAGAGAAAAGGGGAAAAATTGGCGGAAAGAGACACAGAGAAAAAAGCTAAAGGAGAAAAGGAAAAGTGAAGAAAAAAGCGTAAAGAGAAAAGGAGAAGTAAAGTAAAAAGCGAAAAGAGAAAAAGAGAACTAAAGCAAAAATGGGAAAGAGAAAAGGAGATGTAAACAAAAAAGTGGAAAGAGAAAAGGAAAAATAAAGAAAAATGCGGAAAAGGAAAATGAGAAGTAAAGAAAAAAAGCGGAAAGCGAAAAGAAGGAATAAAGAAAAAAGCGGAAGTAAAGAAAAAAGCGGAAAGAGAAAAGGGGATGTAAGGAAAACTGCGAAAAGAGAAAAGGAAAAATAAAGGAAAAAGCGGAAAGTGAATAGGAGAAAATATCGGACAGAGACATAAAGGAAAAATCTGTTAGAGAAAAGGAGAAATGAAGAAAAAAGCGGTAAGAGAAAAGGAAAATAAAGGAAAAAGGGGAGAGAGAATTAAGAATTGATGCAAAAAGTGGAAAGAGAAAAGAAAAAAATAAAATAAAAAGCGGAAAGGAAAAGGAAAAGTAAAGTAAAAGCGGGAAGGGGAAAAGAAAAATAAAGAAAGAAGCGGAAAGAGAAAAAGGAGAAGTAAGGAAAAAGTGGAAAGAGAAAAGGAGAACTAAAGGAAAAGTGGGAAAAAGAAAAGGAGATGTAAACAAAAAAAGTTAAGAGAAAAACAAAAACAAAGAGAAAGGCTGAAAAGGAGAAGTAAATAAAAAAGCGGAAAGAGAAAAACAAAAACAAAGAAAAAGGCGGAAAAGGAGAAGTAAATAAAAAAAGCGGAAAGAGAAAAAGAGAAATAAAGAGAAAATACAGAAAAAAACGGAAAGAGAAAAGGACAAGTATAGGCAAAAACGGAAATAGAAACAAAGAAAGCGGAGAATGAAAACGAAAAATATAGAAAAAGGCGAGGAGAAACAAAGAAAAACACCTAACGAGAAAAGATAAAATAAAGAAAAAAGCGGAAAGAAAAAAAGAAAAGTAAAGGAAAAAAAGAAAATAGAAATAAAGAAAAAACGGATAGTGAAACAGAGAAATAGAGACAAAAAGGGAAAAAGAAATAAAGAAAAAAAACGGAAAAGGTAAAATAATGAAAAAGGCATGAGTAGAAATAAAGAAAAAAAAACGAAAAGAGAAAAGAATAAGTGCAGAAAGAAACAGAAACAGAAATAAAGAATAAAAAGGAATGAGAAAAGAAGGAATATACCAAAAAGCAGAAAGAGAAAAATATAAATAAAGAAGAAAGCGCAGAATGAAATAAAAGAAAAGGAGAAGTAAAAAAAAAATAAAAGCGAAAAGAGTAAAATCAAAAAGTAAAGGAAAAAGCTGAAAGTGAAAAGGAGAAATAAAGAAAAAAGAGAAAAGGAAAAATAAAGAAAATAGCGGAAAGAGAAGTAAAGTAAAAAAACGAAAATAGAAATAAAGAAAAAGCGGATAGTGAAATGGAGAAATAAAGAAAATACAGAACAAGAAAAGGTAAGATAAAGAAAAAGCGGAAGAAGAAATGAAGAAAAAATGAACAGAGAAAAGGAGAGGAAAAGAAAAAAATGGAAATAAATAATAAAGCGGAATAAGAAAAGGAGTAATAAAGAGAAAAGCAGAAAGAGAAAAAAAGAAAAGCGGGAAGTGAAATAAAGAAAAAACAGAAAAAGAAAAGAAAAAACGGAAAGAGAAAAAAGTAAAAAAGGCGAAGAGAGAAAAGAACAAAAAAGTAAAAAGTGGAGAGAGAAAAGGAGAGGTAAAGGAAAAAGCGGAAAGAGAAAAAGAGTAATAAAGAAAAAAGCGGAAAGAGAAAAGGAAAAATAAAGAAAAAAGCGGAAGGAGTAGGGGAGAAATAAAGAAAAAAGAGAAAAGCGAAAAAGAGAAGTAAAGGAAAAAGCTGGAAGAGAAAAGGAGAAATAAAGGAAAAAGTGGGAAGAGCAAAGAAGTAAAGGGAAAAGGAGAAGTAGAGTTAAAAGCGTAAGGAAAAAAAGAGAATTAAGCGAAAAAGCTGAAAGAGGAAAAAGATGTAAAGAGGAAAGCGGAAACGAGAATTAAAGGAAAAAGCGGAAAGGAAAAAGGCGATGTAAAGAAAAAAGCCGAAAGAGAAAAGGAGAAGAAAAAAGAAAAGGCGAAAAGAGAAAAGGACATGTAAGGAGGAAAGAGAAAAAGATAAGTAAATGAAGAGGCGGAAAAAGGAAAGAGAAAAGTAGAAGTAAAGGAAAAAGATGAAAAAGTAAAGCAGAAATAAAGAAAATAGTGGAAAGAGAAAAAGAGAGGAAAAGAAAAATGCGAAAAGAGAAAAGGAAAAGTAAAGAAAAAAGCGAAAAGAGAAAAGGAGAAGTAAAGGAAAAAGCGGAAAGAGAAAAGGAAAAATAAAGACAAAAGTGGAAAGAGAAAAGGAGAAGTAAAGGAAAAAGCTGAAAAAGGAAATAGAATTAAAGGAAAAACAGAAATGGAGAAAGTAGAAGTAAACAAAGAGAAAAAAAGAGAGGAAAAGAAAAATGCGAAAAGAGAAAAGGAAAAGTAAAGAAAAAAGCGAAAAGAGAAAAGGAGAAGTAAACGAAAAACAGAAAAGAGAAATGGCGAAAGTAGAAGTAAAGAAAAAATGTGGATTCAGAAAAGGAGAAGTTAAGGAAAAAAGCGGAAAGAGAAAGCGTCGGTTTATGTTTGTTGCTTTTACGACATCAATTCTTGTGTCATTTAATGTTGAATTTTGTATGCGGTAACCAGTGAGGATTGAACTCAGTATTTATTCATTAACTCACTATTCGTTAAGGTCACTCAGACACGCCTCGTTATCTTGAACGAGAGAAAAAAAGGGAGAAAAAGATAGAGATAGAGAGGGGGAAGAGTGAGATTGAAAAGAAAGGAAAGTTAGGACAAAGAGAGAGACAGACAGAAACCGAGAGAGGAGGGGAAAAGAGAACAACGTGAAGGAGAGAAAGAGTGTGTGAAAAAATATGGCACAAGTAGAGAGCAAGTGAGAAGAAGAATAAAAATTGAGAAAGAAGAAAATATAAAAAGAAACAACGTGGCAAAAAAAAAAAAAATAAAGGAAATTTTCTTTTTTTTTTTAGAGGGTGGAAAAGGGAAAAAAAGGGTGTTATGCATAAAGAAAATAAAAAGAGTTGAAAGAAAGAGAAAGAAAGAAAAGATATTGAAAAAAAGTGAAAGATTCGGTAATCTACCTGTATTTATTTTATTCTTTTTAGTCTCTCTCTATCGTGCTAACACATTCGTAAGGAACTGATTTCTTTCTTTCTTTCATTTTTGACCGACCTATCTCTCTATCTATCTATCTATCTATCTACCTGTCTGTCTGTCTATCTATCTCAGTCTGCTCGTATCTATCTATCTATCTATCTATCTATCTATCTATCTATCTAGTTAACACAGTTGTAATGAACTGATGAGTTTGGCTGAGTTCGATCATGATGATGATCAGCTATTTGTCTATCTGAAGATACAGAAAGGAAGATGAGGAGCGTGAGTGGATTTATTAAACAAAATCCATTGATGAAAAAATAAAATGAAGAAGACAACAAAGAGAGGCGTCGTTTATTATTGGAAGTAAAAGGGAAATGCAGAAGGTAATTTCAGTGGCTGTAACATGCAGGGAGAATGCCATTGAAAAGAAAGTCACACAAAGCGATCAAACGCGAGGAAGGAGGAAAAGGAGAATGAGGAGGTAACATATTTAGCACCTTTTAAATTACGAGTGTGTATTTGAGAGAGAGAGGAAGAGAGAGAGACGGGATGAATGCTGATAGAGGGGAGAGGAAAAGGATGGAAAGTAAAAAGGTGACAAAGACAGCTGTTGAAAGTGAGGTACTGACTTGGAAAGTGATAAAAAAAATGGAATAACGAGAAAGAACTCGAATATTTAGAAAGAAAAGAATAGAGATAAGAAAGGGATAATTTTAAAGAGGAAGAGTGAGGAAGAATGGAGGAAACTCAAAAGAGAGGAGGATTACGTCTAAAGGGATAGAGAGAGAAAGATAGACAAAGTCGTGAGGATCGATAGAATGAAAAAGATGAAAAAAAGAGAGTGAAAGAGAGAACAATGTGGAAGTTGTGTGTGTGTGTGTGTGTGTGTGTGTGTGTGTGTGTGTGTGTGTGTGTGCGCGGAAGCGAGAAATAGAAATAGAAAGGGATAATAGACGGAGCGGGAGAAAGAAAAGAAAAGGGGAAGAAAAAGATACAAGGGAGATGGCTAAAAAGTGAGATACAAAAAGAAAGTGAAACAGAGTGAAGTGTGTGTGTGTGTGTGTGTGTGTGTGTGTGTGTCTAAAAAGTGAGGGTTTGAATGAAGGAAAAAGAAAGAAGGGAGATGGCCAGAGATATGATATCTAAAAAAGGAAACAAAAAGAAGAGAGAATGAGATATGCAAAGGGAAACAGAGTGAAAGTGTGTGTGTGAGAGAGAGAGAGAGAGAGAGAGAGAGAGATGGAAAACGGTATAAAAGAAATGCTAAAAAGAGAGCGATAAAGAAAAAGAGAAGTCAAAGAAGAAGATAAAAGAAAGACAGAAAATCGGGGATAAAAACAAAGTAGGAATGAGAAAAAATGAATTAGGCATAAAAGAAAAAGAGAAAGAGAAAAGGAAAGATAATGAAAAAGGGAAAAAGATGAGAAAGCAATATAGATGGGAAAAGAAAGAAGGTAGAAAAAGCATCAAATCAGGAGAAGAAGAAAAGGGAGAAAATAGAGTGTAAGGAAAAAGAAGAAGAAGAATTAAGTGGACAAAAAGATAGAGATGAAGAAAAGTGAAGGAAAAAGACTCACTAATAGATTATGTGAATGGAAGAGAGAGAGAGAGAGAGAAGAAGAAGAGAGATTAAAAGTACAAAGAGAGAAAATAGGGAAAGAAAGAGAAGCAATGGAAAATGGAAAGAAAGAAAGAAAGAAAGGAATAAGGAGCTAGAATAATGAAGAAAGGGATGTTCAGAATGTCAAGAGAATATATATATATATATATATATATGTGTGTGTGTGTGTGTGTATGTGTGTGTGTGTGTATAAAAGTAAGGAAGTATTAAAGAAAAAGAAGGCAAAAACGAATAATACATATTGTATTCGGGAGAGAGAGAGAGAGAGTGAGAGAGACAAAGAAGACAATGTGAGTTAGTGTAAAAGTAAGAGGAAAGAGAAAGCGGCCAAAAGATTAATAGGAGTGATAGTTTTCGAGAGAGAAAGATAAAAGAGAGAGGGGTAAAGAGATAAAAACAAAGAATTTGTGATAAGTAGGTAGATAAAGGAAGAATAATAAGATAAGGAAAGGAAATGATGTTGTTTTCGAGAAAGTGAAGGGGGCGAACGAGAGAGAGAGAGAGAGAGGGGGAATGGGTGAGATTAAAGGGTATTGTTTTCAAGAGAATGCAAGAAAGAGTGCGATAGTGAGAAACAAAGAAAAAAATGTAACATTTTTGTGAAATAAAGTGTGTGTGTGTGAGAGAGAGAGAGAGAGAGAGAGTGAGAGAGAAGGAAAAGAAGATAGGTCGAGTGTATGTGTGTGAAAGAGAGAGTGCGAGAGAGAGGTCGGGAAAAAAAGGATAGAGATGAAAGGGTAACACCCAGAAAGAGAAACTGATATAGAACGTGAGAGAAAATGAGAGAGATATAGAGTGAAAGAGAAAAGGAAAGAACGAGTGAGTCAGATAGGATAAGGAGAAGAAAGGGTGCCTTTTTGAAAAAGAGAGAGGGAGAGAGGAGGAAAGAAAAAGAATATTAGAAAGAGAGGAGAAGGGTGCTATTTTCGAATGGTCGGGTTGCATCGCAAAAAAAAAAAAATGTAGAGAGGATGGGTCTTTTCACACAAGCGATCATTGAAATGATTGCCTTTCATCTTGCTTTCTCTAATAGAGGCAAGCATCTACATGAAAGGACGCAAACAATCGGGAACAGAACTAACAAAGAGCGAAACGGAAAAGCAGCCCGACATGAAAGAGTGCCTGGGGGATGCGGAGAAGGTGGTGGGGAGAGAGAAAGAGAGAGAGAGAGAGAGAGAAAAGAGAGAGAAAAGAGAGAGAGAGAGAGTGTGTGTGTGTGTGTGTGTGTGCTCCGAGAGGGGAGGTACTGTTTTAGTTGTTGCTGGCGGGCGGTGGAAACAGCCACGGAGAAGTTCTTTGGCTGTAGAACTGCGATAGGGCAGATCTTCGTCATTGAAACCTTGTCGGTTGGTCGCTTGCTCATTCCGCACCAACAACATCCTCCACACCATCCCCACCAAATACGCCCATCCAACAAACGTTTGGACCGGATGAGACAAAGTTGGCCGGTTTGAAACACGCTTGGAAGTTCATTTAGTGCTTGATACGGTTGCTTTCTGAAAATTCGGACGGCGATGAACGGAGCGGGTAAAAAAAAAGAGGCGGACCGGAAGCAATGAAGGGAATGACGGGAAAAGAATTAGTAGAATAGGAATAGTAAGAAGGGAAATCCGAAGAAGAGTAAGGATGAAAGGGTGGAGTTGAATAGAAGATAACTGGAATACAAAGGATTGGATTGGGAGAGAGAGAGAGAGAGAGAGAGAGGGGGGAGGGAGGAGGAGGATAAGGAGTAAGGTGATGCAAAGAAAGAAAGAAAGAAAGAAAGAAAGAAACAAGGAAACAAGGAAACTGGAGGGAGACGAGGAGAGAGAAAAAAAGGAGTAATAAAGAAAACTGAAATGATGAATGGGAGGTAACTGTCGCCGAAAGAGAAGGCAACCGAGAGAAAAAAAAGATATAAAGAGATAGACAGAAGAAAAAGGAGAGAGAGAGAGGTGGGGCAGACAGACAGACAGACAGTGAGAGGGTGCAGGTTGATGTAAGGAAAGAAGGAAGGGGATCTGGAAGAGGTGGAGAGAAAAAAAGAGGAGAAATAAAGAAAAAAGAGAGAGAGATAGCGTGTGTGTATGCGTGCATGTGTGTGTGTGTGTGTGTAAGAGAGAGAGAGAGAGAGTGAAGGAGAGCGAGAGAGAGAGAGAGAGAGAGAGAGAGAGAGAGAGTGAGAGAAAGAAAGGTGTGAATAGAAGAAAGAAGTGTTTAAACAAGAAGTGTTGAATGAATCCCGGAAAGACGAAAAAGAAAAGAAAAAGAATAAAGGCATAAAATACCAGGGAGAAAAGTGCAGTGAAAGAAAGCAAAAAAGAAACGAGAAAGAAGAATACTGAGAAAAGAAAGCAGTTAAAAGAAGGGGGTAGCAAATAAGAAAGGGGAGAGAGAGAGAGAGAGAGAGAGAGAGTGGGAGGATGAAAGCCAGACAAAGAGAAGTAAAAACAGAAAGAAAAGAGAAAAATGGGAGGAAGAATGGAAGATAAAGAGAAGGAAAGACGAAAGAAAGGATAAAATCAGTAAATAAGAAAATATAAAAAAAAAAAATCAAAATTTACATTAGAGGTAACGAGAAAAGTTAGAATAAAAAGAGAGGAAAAAATACTAAAAAGAGAAAAAGAAAGGGAGAAGTAATAAAAGGGGAAAATAGAGAACGAAGAAGGAATAAACATAGAGAAAGAGAGGAAAAGAAGAAAAGAGAAAGGAAAGGTTTAAAGAAAGAAATGAGGATGAAGGAACGAACAAAGAAAGGAATACAAAATAAAAAAAAATAATATAACAATTGCATAAGGTGGTAGGAAGATAAGGCAAGACATTCATCAAATAAAGATGGAGAATACAGAAAGGAAAATGGAAAAAGAGAAATACTGGGAGAATGAGAGAAATAACTGATGTTAAATATGAGGAAATGTATAGAATAAAAAGATGGAAGATAGAAAACGAAAGAGAAATTCGCGAAGAGAGAAAGCGTGTGTGAAAATAAGTTTGAGGAATTAAAAACAAAATGTGAAGAGATTGAGAGTAAAATAAAAAAAGAGAAACAAAAGAGAGAAAGTAGGAAAGGAGGGGGAAAAGCAAATGAAAGAAGTAAAAGAGAAAAGTAAGGAAGACAGAAACAATAAAGAAAGAATAAGAGAAAAAGAAAAGTAGAGACAAGAATGGAAGAACGTTAAAAGGAAGAGAAAACAATTAAAAAGAGAAAAAGGTGAAAGAAAATTTAAAAATGATGCCAAGAAGTTGTGAAAGACAGAAAGTATAAGAGTCGATATATTAGAAAGCGTTGGTTTAAAGGTTTAGCGGCGAATGGAGGCGAGGAAGGAGGAAGAATCGAGATTCTTTGATTTTGGCCAATGAATCGCAATTTGTTGGAAATATAATCATCATTATCATAAGCGGAGGAAAAAGAAAACAAAAACAAAAATAAATAAATAAACGTTTTTTTTTTTCGCGTTATTCAGGCGTTCGATAAATCTAAGATCTGATCATGACCGTAACCTGTTCATTAAACTGGACAAGTTCATTAGATTCAATTCAAAATTTCCCTGAAAAAAAAAAAATAACAGGATGAAAAACCGATATGTGTCACATGTGAGAATGTATATCCTATTCACTTCCAATATGGCGTAGTCAGAAATTATAACGAGAAGGGATTACTCATGAATATTCCTACCATTGTTTCCCAGTGAAAATGAAAAAGCAGTCAATTTTGAACTATTTGAAATTGAAGTTTTTCTCCTAATGAAAGATATAGTTTTTGTAAATAATTAGAATAAACGCCTGGTTTCTTAGACTAAAAGAAACAAATTGTAAATGCATGAGGATTGGGATAAAGAAAATTTATTCATTCTTTTCGATCTGAACAGTTTACTAATGGCCGTAGATTAACGATCGGAAAAGTTGCGATAAAAACAACTAAAATGAAAACGAAACTAAGACAGTCAAAATTAATAGCAGATGACAATACTTTATCTAATAATAAAATCCACGATAATCTAAAAATGGCATGGCCGGAGCCGTAGATGAATGTTATAATGAAAATCAAGTAAAATTAAAATGAAAGAATGAAGATTTGTCAGACATAATCAAGAGAAGTTAAAAGTCAAACATTAATAATGTTTGATAAGGTTTCTTCTAATACAACTCTACGTTTTTATTAATTACTATAGAATGACGGTCTATGGAGTTGCAATAAAAATCACAATTAAAATGAAAAAATCCTAGTGAAAAGTATCTGTCTATATTTTTGAGATGGGATATTGTAACTAATTACACGATAGACATTTTTCAGATTTTGGTCCTCATCTTTATTGTCATATTCACGACGTTTCGGCTGTTGTACGCTCCGGCCTTCTTCAGAGTTGGAATTTTGAACTGAACCCTGAGATATCGAGAAAAGCATAGCACATGGAACTAGAACAATCTACTCCAGTAGACTAAATAAAGGTTCCAGTTCAAAATCCCAACGGATATCACCTGAAGAAAGCTGGAGCGTACAACGGTCGAAACATTTTGAATATGACAATAAAGATAAGGACAAAAATTCGAACAATGTCAATCGTGTAAATAGTGAAAGTAGTTGAAAATACTTCATCTCTTAAAGATTCAAGAAAATATTACTTTTTCTTCGTTCAAAATTGTGCCACTGAGGATGAAAGCTAACATCGAAACTTTTGCTATAACCTACGGGGATCTCTTCTTCCAGCTATACCAACGCGATAGTTCCGATCATAATAGACGCTTTGTATGCGCTGCTAATGAGTGTAAGCATGTCCTCAACGAGGCAAAGACGCTGTTCACTGATAGAGTGAGACACCATATAATCTCACGCAAGTTTAATTCTAGAGATTACTAGTGGCACTATAAGAATGTTGAACAAGTGTAAATCCTCAATCTCTCCTTTCATCAATCACTTTGAAGTAGTGTCATCTATTGTTGCTAAAGCAGAATGCTTTGCTCGGAAATTCTCTTCCAGCTCGACACACGACTCTTCAAGAGGATCTTTACTTAATTTCCCCTCCTAGAACGGAATCTCTATTCGGTGATATGAACACAAATCCGTGCATGGTTTCTGTTTTCATCTCCAAACTAGATCCCCAAAAAGGCTTGCGGACTTGACGGTATCCCTGCAATTGTCTTAAGAAAATGTATCCCTGTACTTATTCCTGTTCTCTACAAACTCTACAATAAATACCTGGCTGTTTCTCGCTGTCCAGCTTGTTGAAAATAATCATCTGTAGTTCTTGTCTTTTAAGAACACTGGTGGATCGTCTGATCCCTTGAATTACTATCCTATTAGTCTTCTATCTCCTTTTGGCAATGTACTAGAGGCTCTAATCAACTTACTTGCTCACCTCACATGGCCTTCTTTCAGATAAACAATATGGCTTTCGTTTCTCGGTCAATCGCCGATGTGTTAACTGTTATCTCTGAATTTTTCTATCAAACTTTAGCTATGAACGGTGAGGCTTAGACTGTAGCTTTAGATATCTCGAAAGCGTTTGACAGGATTTGGTATGCTGGCTTTCTCAACAACCTCATGGCCTATGTTGTCTCTGGTCGGATATTTGATTTAGTCCAACCGTTCTCAACGCAATGAAGTTCATGCTGAACAGCCAATCTTGTAGTCATTCCACAAGGCTTACGTTGTCTTCATCAATGATATTCCCGATGTCATCAGTCCCCAAATAGGTATTCGTGGCGATGACACAAATATATAAACTTATCTTAGTAGTAAGTTCGATAGGTCAGACAAAGTGAAGCTGGCAGCTGCTAACGAAAATAAATTTCAATCAGTTGTTAATTGGGACAAGAAATGGCTTGTAAATTTTAACGCCCCAAAACGAAACTGCTATCATTTGATGATCATAGATAACTGTTTTTACCCTCCATCAGCTTTGCTGGTGCTATGCCTCCGAAAGATCAACTCATTACGCCTACTTGATATCCCGTTTTTTACTGAC